TTATTTTTGGGATTTAGCGGGGGGGGGTTCGTGGGTTTTTCGCCCTTTTTCACGGTTGTTGGGTGTTCGGTGTGCCTGAATTCGTCTTTTTCCATGATTTTGGGGCTCTGGAACTGCCTAAATCCCCTTGACCAAGGGATTTTCGGGGGTTGGGCATGGCCAGACCCCCCTGTACCCAATTTAGGGAGTCTGGGAGTGACTTACACCCCCCTGTACACTAATTTTGGGGAACTGAATGTTCCCAAATCCGCTTTTACCGGGGATTTTGGGGGTCTGGATGTTCCTAAACTGCCTCGTCCTCGGGATTTTGGGATCTGGGAGTGCTCAACACCCCTGTACCCAAAACTGGGGAGGGGCTGGGAGAGTGCCCAAACCCCCCTGTACTCAAAATTTGGGGAAGGGAGTGCTCACACATCCTCTTTTCCCGGGATTTTGGGATTGTGGAAGTGCCCAAACCCCCTTGTCCCGGGATTTTGGGATCTGGGAGTGCTCAAACCCCCCTGTACCCAAAATTCGGAGGGGGATGGGAGTGCCCAAACCCCCCTGTAAACAAAATTTGGGGAACTGGGTTTTCTCACATCCTCTTTTCCCGAATTTCGGTGCTCTGGAAGCGCCTAAACCCTCTTGTCCCCGGGATTTTGGGATCTGGGAGCGCTCAAACCCCCTTGTACACAAAATTTGGTGAAATGGAAATGCCTAAATCCCTTTTTTTTTCCCAGGAATTTTGGGTCTCTGGAAGTGCCTAAATCCCTTTCTTCCCGGATTTTTGTAATGTGGGTGTGCCTAAACCCCGCGTACCCACAATTTGGGGATCTCCATGTTCCCAAATCTGCTTTTCCCGGGGATTTTGGGGCTCTGGATGTTCCGAAACCCCCTTGTCCCCGGGATTTTGGGGATCTGGGAGGGCTCAACTCCCCCTGTATCCAAAATTCGGGGCGGGCTTGGCGTGCCCAAACCTCTCTGTACACAAAATTTGGGGAACTGGGTTTTCTCACATCCTCTTTTCCCGGAGTTTCGGTGCTCTGGAAGTGCCTAAACCCCATTGTCCCCGGGATTTTGGGGATCTGGGAGTGCTCAAACCCCCCTGTACCCAAAATCTGGGAACTGAAAGAGCCTAAATCCCCTTTTTTCCAAAATTGAGGGGCTCTGGATGTTCCTAAACCCCCTTGTCCCCGGGATTTTGGAGATCTGGGAGTGTTCAAACCCCCCTGTACTCAAATTTGGTGGGGCTGCGAGTGCCCAAACCCCCCAGTACCCAAAATTTGGGGAACTGAAAATTCCCAATTCCTCTTTATCCAGGATTTTGTGAGTCTGGATGTTCCTAAACCCCCTTGTCCCCGGGATTTTGGGCAGCTGGGAGTGCTCAAACCCCCCTGTACCCAAAATTTGGGGAACTGAAAATTCCCAATTCCTCTTTTCCCAGGATTTTGTGCGTCTCGATGTTCCTAAATCCCCTTGTCCACGGGATTTTGAGGGGATAGCGATGCCCAAAATCCGCTGTACACAAAATTTTAAGAACTTAATATTCCCAAATCCTCTTTTTCCAGGGTTTTGGTGATCTGGATGTTCCTAAACCCCCTTGCCCCGGGATTTTGGGAGGTTCCCAGCAGCACCAGGAGCAGGCAGGTCCAGAAGGGACTGGGAGGGACTGGGAGTGGGAGGGGCGGGCTGTGCTGGGCCAGCCAATCAGAGCCGCTCATTTCACATTTAACCCCGATTTTTCGGGCACTGCGCTCGTTCAGGATTTCCTGTTCGGATGCCTTTGTCCCGCTCCGCTTTAGAAACAACATTTTATTAACAAGATATGAAGGAAATTATTAACCATGATTAAAATATTTTTTAAATTTTATAAATTTAGGAAATATGGACCTTTTCATAAATTACAATAAAATTTTATAAATATAAAAATTATTAAGTATTTTTAATTATTTAACAATTTTAACAAGGGGCTGAGCTCCCCCTCCGTGCTCACTGCGGGATGTGGGGAGGGGGCGATGCTGACGGGGCCGGGGGGGCGGCAGCTCTGGGGGGGGGGGCGGGGAAATCGCGGGGTTCTGGTGCTGCTGCTCTTCCTCCTCCTCCTCTTCCTCCTCCTCCTCCTCCTCCTCCCGCTCCCCCCGGGCCCAGCCCCCACCCTTTCTCCCCCTCCCTTTGCCCAAATCCGTCCCATCGCCCCCCGCCCCCCCAGACCCCTCCCCAGCGCCCCCCAACAAACGGCCCCGGGCCCAGCTGGGAAGCTTTATTGGGAGCGCTGGCAGCGGGCACTGGGCGGGGGCAGAGCGCCAGCGGCGCTGGGGGGGACACGGGACCCCCCCAGAATCAGCGCAGCGGGGACGGAGCGGGGGGTCCCGGCCGGGCCCGAGCCCGCGGGGAGGGGCTGCGGCCGCCGCCGCCTCAGGAGCTCTGTGGGCACAGAAAAGGGGGTGACACCGGGCTGGGGGCCCCGGCGGGAGCGCGCACGGGGCTCCGCCACGGCGGCCACGCCGCCCCCGGCACCCGCCCTCACCTTCTTGCGCACGTAGAAGCCGAGCCCCAGCGCCACGAAGACCGAGCCCAAGACCAAGCCCCCGATGCCCGTCAGCATCTTGCTGCGGCCGGCGTCCGGCGCCATCTCTGGGGGGTCCGCAGGGCTCAGCGCCCCCAAAACCTCTCGCCGACACCCCCAGCCCCTCCCAGCGCCCTCCCTGTGGACCCGGCTCGGCCAGGACCCCCTGAAACCTCCCCCCGATCCCTTTTGGGCCTCGACAGGAGCCACCAAAGCCCCTCCCGTCCCTCTCGGCATCCCACAGCCCCCTCCCAGTTGCCCCCCAGCGCCCCAGGAGCCCCAAACTCCCTCCCAGTCACACCCAGCGCCCCAAACTCCCTCCCAGTCACACCCGGAACCCCCAAACTCCCTCCCAGTCACACCCAGCACCCCCAAACTCCCTCCCAGTCACACCCAGCACCCCCAAACTCCCTCCCAGTGCCCACCAGCACCCCCACAACCCCATCCCACCCTCCCCAGCATCCCCCAAACCCCTGCCCAGCCCTTGCCCAGCCCCCAGCCCCTCTCCCACTCCCAGCCCGCCTCTCTCCACCTCCCTCCCAGTTCCTCCCAGCACAGCCCAGCGCCTCTGCCAGCGCCCCCAGGGGCTCCCCCGTACCCAGTGCCGCCTCAGCGGCTGCTCCAGGCTGACGTGCTCCACCTGGCAGCTGTAGCTCAGCCCGCGCCGGGGCGGCGTTTCCAGCAGCACCAGCAGCTGGTAGCTCCAGTCCCCGTTGGCCACCACGTCCGTGGCCACCACGTGCTCCGACAGCTCCTGCTGGCCCTGGAACCACCTCACCTGGATGGCAGCAGGGTAGAAATCCATCACGGAGCAGAGCAGGCGGCCGGGGCCGGGCTGGGAGCTCGAGGCGGGCACCAGCGAGATGGACACGCTGGGGGGCACTGGGAGAGTGAGAGAGACGGGACACACTGGGATCAGCTGGGGAGAACTGGGAGAGAGAGGGAAGGGCTGGGAGGGACTGGGAATGGACTGGGAGGGACTGGGATGGAGTTGAGTGTCACTGGGTGAGGTGAGAGGGGATGGGGATGCGCTGGTAGATATGGTGGATGTCTGAGAGTGAATTGAGAATGAAATGGGGAGAGACTGGAAATGGACTGGGAGGGACTGGGGAGGAACTGGAGATGGTCTTGGAGGGACTGGGGTGCACTGGGAGGGATTTTGGTGGCACTGGAGGAACTGGGAATGAAGCGCGCGGCTCTGGGAGGCCGAGTCCAGCGCGGGGCACTCGGCGCTGCGGGTCTGCCCGGCAACCGGTGAGTCATTAAAATCCCGAGTTCTGATTGGCTGACAGGCGTCACCGTTACGCGTCGCTGCAACGGACGCGTGGGGGGGCACTGGGATGGACTGGGGGGGTCACTAAGGGGTACAAGGGGCCCCGGGGATGGGCACAAGGAGGGCTGAGGGCTCTGGGGCGATTCCCAGCGTGGTTTCGAGGGGCTCCAGCATCATTGGCAGGGCAGGGCCCGAGTGGACACGCTCTGCCCAGCGCTCACCTCGGCGCTCTATGGTGAACGGGCGGAACATCTCGTAGTTGCGCCGGCAGAACGTGTCCGCCAGACTCCGCATGTACCTCATGATAGCCGGGTGGCGGTTCAAGTGCTTGGCATTCAGCACCCCAAAGCGGGTGTCACCCACGTAGTGCCCCACGTCGCTGTCGAATATCAGGAACTGCCGGCGGTTGTAGATGGCCCTCTCCACGAGCCTCACCTTCTCCGTGCCGTTAGTGAAGTAACACTCGGTCTTTTGCATGTACTGGAACACCCCTGTGAGTGCAGCACACAGCTCAAGGAGTTCCGCCTCTACACCCCCCCAGCAGCATCCCCAGAGCTCCGGGCCCACCCGGATCCCCACTCCGCACCCCCTGTGCCCCACGGCCGCCACGGGACCCTCCTGCCCGCGCTGCCGCTTCCTCTTTGCCGCCCTTCCCCCATTTCCCCTTCCTCATCCTCTCCCCTCCCACCTCCGGCCGCTCCCCAAATCACTTTTGGGCTCCCATTTTCCCACAAATCCCCCAATTCACAACGCCCACGGCCTCACTTTTAGGGTTCCCCTCCCCTTTTCCCCCTTCCCCCGCCCTGGCCCAGCGCCTCCCGCCCCCCGCTCACCCGAGAGCTCCGCGCCCACACCCGGGGGGGCTCCCAGCACCCCCAGTGCCACCAGCAGGGCCCCGGCTGCCGCCCCGAGCCCCATGGCCAGCGACCGCCGCCCCGAACCAACCGCGCTCAACTGCAAGACCCAATTGCCGTTTGGAGCCCGATTTCCAGACTCTCTACCCAGCAACCGATGACTCGTACCCGCTCCTTTTTCTGATTGGTCAAAATTTCTTAGGGAGCTCAATTTTTGAACCCTCTACCCGGCAACACATGACGCGCCATAAAATCTCCACGCCCATTGGCTGAGGGGTTTTTGGGGTGCAGCTCCCGCGATCCCCGTCCCCCCAGTTTGGATCCGCGTTCCTGGGAGCAGCACCGACCCTGCCCGGTGTGCCCGGAGCGCCATGGACGGAACGCGGAGCCTCCCCCGGCTGCTGCCGCTGCTGGCCCTGACCCTGCCCCCAATTTTGGGTGTCCAAGGTGGGGTTTTGGGGGGGTACCGGATTTGGGGTTCGCTGGAATTCGGGTATTTTTGGGTATTAAGGGGTTAAAGGCATCAATCCAAAATTTTGGGATTTTTTTTTTTTTTTGGGGGGGGTTTCGGTTTTTTTCTCCCCCTTTTCTTTCCCCCTCATTTTCGGGGGTTGGGTGTGGCTGAATTCGTCTTTTCCCAGGATTTTGGGGCTCTGGATGTTCCTAAACCCCCTTGTCCCCGGGATTTTGGGGGGGTTGGGCGTGGCCAGACCCCCCTGTCCAAAAGATTTTGGGGACCTGGGCGTGGCCAAACCCCCCTGTACACAGAATTTGGGGGGCCTTGGCCTTCCCAAATCCTCTTTTTCTCTGATTTAGGGGATCCGGGAGTGCCTAAATCCCCTTTTTTTCCAGGATTTTTGGGGTCTGGATGTTCCTAAACCCCCCTGTCCAAGGGATTTTGGAGATCTGGGCGTGGCCAGACCCCCCTGTACATAAAATTTGGGGAACTGGGAGTTCCTAAATCCTCTTTTTCCCGAGATTTAGGGGATCTGGGAGTGCCTAAATCCATTTTTTCCGAGGATTTTGGGGTCTGGATGTGCCTAAACCCCCTTGCCCCCGGGATTTTGGGATCTGGGCGTGGCCAAACCCCCCCTGTACCCAAAATTTTGGGGGGGGCCGGAAGTGCCCAAACCCCCCTGTACCCAAAATTTGGGGATCTGGGAGTTCCCAAACCCTCTTTTCCCGGGATTTGGGGGCTCTGGAAGCGCCTAAACCCCCCTGTCCAAGGGATTTTGGGGATCTGGGATGCTCAAACCCCCTGTACCCAAAATTTTAGGAACTGAGAGTTCCCAATTCCTCTTTTTCCAGGATTTTGGGAATCTGGAAGTGCCTAAATCCTTTTCTTCCAGGATTTTTGGAGTCTGGATGTTCCTAAACTCCCTTTTCCCCCGGGATTTTGGGATCTGGGCTTGCCCAAATCCCCCTGTACACAAAATTTGAGGAACTGGAAGTGCCTAAATCCCTTTTATTCCAGAATTTTGTGGCTCTGTAAGTGCCTAAATCCTTTATTCCAGGATTTTTGGGTCTGGATTGCCTAAACCCCCTCGTCCCCGGGATTTTGGGGATCTGGGCGTGGCCAGACCCCCTGTACCCAAAATTTGGGGAAGTGACAGTCCTAAATCCTCTTTTTCCCGGATTTTTGGGGTGGGCCGAGCCCAAACTTCCTTTTTCCCCACAATTTTGGTGCTCTGGGGGTGCCTAAATCCCATTTTCCTGGGATTTTGAGCGGAAATCCCAATTTTCTTGCAATTTTTCCCCCCTTTTTTGTGGATTTTCAGCAGAAATCCCCCAAATTCCTGGAATTTTGATAAAAAATCTCCAATTTCCCCATTTTGAGCAGAAATCCCTAATTTCCCCAAGTTTTTCAGCAGGAATCTCCAATTTCCTGGCATTTTGACTTACATCTTTATTTTTTTTTTTTAATTTTAAGTACAAATTCCCAATTTTCTAGGATTTTGATCAAAAAGCCCCAATTTTCCAGGATTTTCCCTCAAATTTGTGGGATTTTGAGTAGAAATCCAAAATTCCCCAGAATTTTGAGCAGAAATCTCTGAAATTTTCACGGGATTTTAAGCAAAAATCTCCAATATTCCTGGAATTTTAAATGGAAATTTTCATTTTTTAAATTTAAGAATGCCCAAATTTCTGTGAATGTTGAGCAGAATTTCTCAATTCCCAAGGATTTTTGAGCGGAAATCCCCAATTTTCATGGAATTCTGATGGAAATCCCAATTTTTCTGGGATTTTAAGCACAAATTCCAATTTTCCTAGAATTTCACTCTTTTTTTTTTGGATTTTGAGTAGAAGTCCAAATTTTCTGGATTTTTGAGTAGAAATTCAAAATTAAATACAAAAAAAAGTCCCATTATTGAGAAGAAATTTTTCCTGATTTTTCCTTCAATTTTCTGGGGTTTTGAGCAGAAATCCCAAATTTTCCTGGAATTTAAGTAGAAACCCACAAATTTCCTGGGAATTTTTTGTAATTTTCCTGGGATTTTGATTGGAAATCTCCCAAATTTCCTGGAATTTGAGCAGAAATCTCCAATTTCCTTGGGGAATTTTCATAATTTTCCTGGATTTTGATCACAAATCTCCAATTTCCCCAAAATTTCAGCAGAATTTCCTCGATTTTCCTGGGATTTTGAGCAGAAATCCCCAATTTTCATGGAATTTTCCCTCTTTTTTTAAAAAATTTTGATTTTGAGCAGAAATTCCCAAATTTTCCCTGGAATTTTGAGTAGAAATCTCCAATTCCTTGGGAATTTTCACGATTTCCTGGAATTTTGAGTGAAAATTCTGATATTTTTTTTTCTTATTTCAAGTGGAAATCTCCAATTTCGCTGGGAATTTTTCATCATTTCCTTGGGATTTTGATCAAAAATCTCTATTTTCCCTCACTATTTTAACTATAAATCAAATTTATTTTCAATTTTAACCAAAATCTCATAATTTTCCCCAATTTACCAGTCCAGCACAGCATCATCCAGACTGAGTTCGACAGCGCCGAGTTCATGTTCGACTGCGACGGCGACGAGATCTTTGATCAAAAATCCCAATTTCCCCAAGGATTTTGAGTTTAAATCAAAACTTTTTAGATTTGAAGAACAAATCCCCAATTTTCCCAGGATTTTCAGTGGAAATCCCAATTTTCCTGGGATTTTGATTGGAAATCCCCAAATTTTCTTGGATTTTCAAGCAGAAATCTCCAATTTCCTTGGGAATTTTTCATAATTTCCTTGGGATTTTGATCAAAAATCTCACTTTTTCTCCAAGGTTTTCAACAGAATTTACCAGGATTTTCAGTAGAAAGCCCAAATTTTCCTGGAATTTTGATCAGAAATCTCCAATTTCCTTGGAATTTTTCATAATTTCCCTGGGGCTTTGATCAAAAATCTCCAATTTTCCCCAATATTTTCAGCAAAATTTCCCAGATTTTCCCAGGATTTTGAGCAAAAATCCCCAATTTCCCTGGAAATTTTTCGGAATTTTCTTGGGATTTTGAGCAGAAATCCCCAATTTTCCTGGAATTTGAGTTTAAATCCTGATAAGTTTTTTTGTATTTTAAGTAGTAATCCCAAAATTTTGCTGGATTTTCAAGCAGAAATCTCCAATTTCCCTGGAATTTTTCACATTTTTCCTGGGATTTTGATCCAAAATCTCCAATTTTCTCCAGTTTTTCACCAAAATTTCACCGATTTTCTCAGGATTTTGAATATAAACCCCAAATTTTTTTTAAATTTTAAAATTTTCCCCCATTCCCAGTCCAGCACAGCATCATCCAGACCGAGTTCCACAGCACCGAGTTCATGTTCGACTTCGACGGCGACAAGATTTTTGATCAAAAATCCCCAATTTCCCCAGGATTTTGAGTTTAAATCCTAATTTTTAGATTTTTAAGAACAAATCCCCATTTTCCCCAGGATTTTGAGTGGAAATCCCCAAATTTTCCTGGGATTTTGAATGCAAATCCACCATTTTTTGGATTTCAAGAATGCACAATTTTCTGCGGATTTTGAGCAGAAATCTCAAATTTCACAGAATTTTGAGTAGAAATCCTCCAAATTTCCTGGGATTTTGAGCAGAAATGCCCCAAATCCTCTTGGAATTTTGAATGGAAATCTCCAATTTCCTTGGGAATTTTTTGCAGTTTTCTCGGGATTTGATCAAAAATCTCCAATTTTCCCCAGAATTTCCCAGGATTTTTCCTGGAATTTTGAGTAGAAATCTCCAATTTCCTTGGAATTTTTCATAGTTTTCTTGGGATTTTGAACAGGAATCCCCAATTTTCCCAGATTTTGAGTGGAAAATTCAGATTTTTTGTTTGCATTTCAAGTAGAAATCCCAAATTTTCCTGGAATTTGAGTGAAAAATTCTGATATTTTTTTCCTTATTTTAAGTAGAAATCTCCCATTTCCCTGTGAATTTTTCGTAGTTTTCCTGGGATTTTGAGTAGAAATCTCCAATTTCCTCGGAATTTTTCCTATTTTCCTGGGATTTTGATCAAAAATCTCCAATTTTGAATTTAAATGCAATTTTTTTTTAAATTTTCCACCAAAAACCCAAATTTTCACCATTTCCAGCCAGCACAGCATCATCCAGACCGAGTTCTACCAGAAGTCGCTGGACCCCGAGTTCGACAGCGCCGAGTTCATGTTCGACTGCGACGGCGACGAGATCTTTGATCAAAAATCCCCAATTTCCCAGGATTTTGAGTGGAAATTCCAATTATCTGGGATTTTAATTAAAAATTCCCAAATTTCCTAGGATTTTGAATATAAATTCCAATTTCTTTTCTGGGATTTAATAGAAATCCCCAAATTTTCTTTGAATTTTGAATGGAAATACCAAATTTTCCTGGGATTTTTGATCAAAAATCTCCAAATTTCCCCAGAATGTTTTTCTCTCTTTTAAATTTTTTTTTATTTTTAACAGAAATTCCCAATTTCCCCAGGATTTTGAGTAGAAATCCCCAATATTCATGGAATTTTCCCCCAGTTTTGCTGGGATTTTGAGCGGAAACCCCCCAAATTTTCCTGCAGTTTTGAATGGTAATCTCCAATTCCCCTGGGAATTTTTCATGATTTTCCTGGAATTTTGAGTGAAAAATTCTGATTTTTTTTTTCTTATTTCAAGTGGACATCTCCAATTCCTCGGGAATTTTTCATATTTTTCTGGGATTTTGATCAAAAATCTCCCAATTTCCTTCTGATAATGACCCAAAAAATCCCCAATTTCTCCAAGGTTTTCACCAAAATTTCACCGATTTTCTCAGGATTTTGAATATAAACCCCAATTTTTTTTTAAATTTTAAATTTTCCCCATTTTCCAGTCCAGCACAGCATCATCCAGACCGAGTTCTACCAGAAGTCGCTGGACCCCGAGTTCGACAGCGCCGAGTTCATGTTCGACTTCGACGGCGACGAGATCTTCCACGTGGAGCGCGAGGAGACCGTGTGGCGCCTGCCCGAGTTCCAGCAGTTCGCCTCCTTCGAGGCGCAGGGCGCGCTGCAGAACATCGCCATCGACAAGCAGAACCTCGAGAGCTCCATGAAGGCCTACAACAGGTCCAGGACCGACAGCGGTGAGCGCGGGGAGGAGGTTCTGGAAGGTTCTGGAAGGTTCTTGAGGAATTTGGGGAGGTTTTGGAAGGGTTTGAACCAATTTCAGGAGATTTCAACCCAATTGTAGAAGGTTCTTGGTGGAAATCCAAAATTTCGTGTCCTTCAAACTCAGTCCCAGTTGGATCCAACCCAGTTCAGAAGGATCCTGGTGGAATTCCAAAATTTCGTGTCCCTCAAACCCAACCCCAGTTGGGTCCGACCCAATTTCAACCCAATTTTGGGGATATTCAAGCCCAATTCCAGAAGGATCCTGGTGGGATTCCTAAATTTGGTGTCCCTCAAACCCAATCCCAGTTGGGTCTGACTCAAATTCAGGAGATTTCAACCCAATCCCAGTTGGATTTGACCCAATCCCAGTTGGATTCCACCCCAATTCCAGAAGGTTCTTGGTGGGATTCCAACATTTTGTGTCCCTCAAACCCAATCCCAGTTGGATCCAATCCCAATTTTAGGGGATTTCAACCCAATTTTGGGGATATTCAGGTCAGTTCCAGAAGGTTCCTGGTGGGATTCCAAATTTCGTGTCCCTCAAACTCAATTTCAGTTGGATCCAACCCCAATTCCAGAAGGATCCTGGTGGGATTCCAAATTTTGGTGTCCCTCAAACCCAACCCCAGTTGGTTCTGACCCAATTTCTGGAGATTTCAACCCAATCTCAGAAGGTTCCTGGTGGAATTCCAAAATTTCTGTCCTCAAACCCCAACCCCAGTTGGGTCCGACCCAATTTCAACCTAATTTTGGGGATATTCAACCCCAATTCCAGAAGGTTCCTGGTGGGGATTCCAAAATTTGGTGTCCCTCAAACCCAATCCCAGTGGGTCTGACTCAATTTCAGGAGATTTCAACCCAATCCCAGTTGGTTCCAACCCAAATTCCAGAAGGATCCTGGTGGGATTCCAAACTTGGTGTCCCTCAAACCCAACCACAGTTGACCTCCATGGCCGCCCACATAAGTCCAGGACCACCAGCGGTAACACCAGGGGGAGGTTGGGGAGAAGGTTCTGGAAGGTTCTGGAAAAAATTCGGGGAGTTTTGGAGGGATTTTAGAAGGTTTGAGATGGTTTTGGAGGGGTCTGAAGAGGTTCCAGTTGGATCCAACCCAATCACAACTGGATCCAACCCTAATTGCAGAAGGTTCTTGGTGGGATTCCCAAAATTTCGTGTCCCTCAAAGTCAATTTCAGTTGGATCCAACACCAATTCCAGAAGGTTCCTGGTGGATTCCAAAATTTCGTGTCCTTCAAACCCCACCCCAGTTGGTTCCACCTCCATCCCAGTGGATAGAACCCAAATTAAGGAGATTTCAACCCAATCCCAGTTGGTTCTGACCAATTTTGGGGATATCCAACCCAAATTCCAGAAGGTTCTTTGGTGGAATTCCAAACTTACGTGTCCCTCAAACCCAACCCCAGTTGGTTCCAACCCAACCCCAGTTGGTTCCACCTCAATCCCAGTTGAATCCAACCCAATTTCAGGAGATTTCAACCCAAATCCCAGTTGGATCCACCCAATTCCAGAAGGTTCCTGGTGGGATTCCAAACTTTGGTGTCCCTCAAACCCAACTCCAGTTGGTTCCACCTCAATCCCAGTTGGATCCAACCCAATTTCAGGAGATTTCAACCCAAATCCCAGTTGGATCCAACCAAGTTCCAGAAGGTTCCTGGTGGGATTCCAAACTTTCGTGTCCCTCAAACCCAACCCCAGTTGGTTCCACCTCAACCCCGGTTGGTTCCAACCCAATTTCTGGAGATTTCAATCCAATCCCAGTTGGTTCCAACCCCAATTTTGGTCACAACCAACTCCAATTCCAGAAGGTTCCTGGTGGGATTCCAAACTTACGTGTCCCTCAAACCCAACCACGGTTGGTTCCACTTCTATCCCAGTTGGTTCCACCTCAACCCCAACTGGTTCCACCTCAATCCCAGTTGGTTCCAACCCAATTTCAGGAGATTTCAACCCAAATCCCAGTTGGATCCAACCAAGTTCCAGAAGGTTCCTGGTGGGATTCCAAACTTACGTGTCCTTCAAACCCAACACCGGTTGGTTCCAACTCAACCCCAGTTGGTTCCGACCTAATTTCTGGAGATTTCAACCCAATTTTGGGCACAACCAACCCCAACTCCAGAAGGTTCCTGGTGGGATTCCAAACTTACGTGTCCTTCAAACCCAACACCGGATGGTTCCACCTCAACCCCAGTTGGATCCAACCCAATTTTAGGGGATCTCAACCCAAATCCCAGTTGGATCCAACCCAAATTCCAGAAGGTTCCTGGTGGGATTCCAAAATTTCGTGTCCCTCAAACCCAACCCCAGTTGGTTCCACCTCAACCCCAGTTGGATCCAACCCAATTTCAGAGGATTTAAACCCAAATTCCAGAAGGTTCCTGGTGGGATTCCAAACTTACGTGTCCCTCAAACCCAACACCGGTTGGTTCCACCTCAACTCCAACTGGTTCCACCTCAACCCCAGTTGGTTCCACCTCAATTCTCGAGATTTCAGCCCAAACCCACCGGGATGGATCCCAATTTTTTAACCCATTTTGACCCAAAAATTCCCGGATTTTTTCCACCATTCCATTGCAGTGCCCCCGGAGGTGGCCGTGTTCCCCAAGCACCCGGTGGAGCAGGACGAGCCCAACGTCCTCATCTGCTCGGTGACCAAGTTCTGGCCGCCGGTGCTGGGCCTGGCCTGGTTCCGCAATGGTGCCCGGGTCACCGAGGGCGTGCAGGAGACGCCGTTCTACCCCGACCGCGACTTCACCTTCCGCAAGTTCTCCTACCTGACCTTCATCCCCCAGCCCGGCGACTACTACGACTGCAAGGTGGAGCACGAGGGGCTGGCGGCGCCCAGCAAGACGCACTGGGGTGAGGTTCGGGGGTTTTGGGAAAAAAAATTCGGGAAAAAAAAGGGATTTTTGAGAAAAAAATGGGAATTTTTTGTGGGAAAAAATGAGGTTTTTGGGGTTTCAAAAAGGATATTTGGGGTTATTAGGACTGCGAGGTGGAGCTTGAAGGCGTGGAAGGATGCATTGGGGTGAGATTTGGGGGGTTTGGGAAAAAAATCGGGAAAAAAAGGGATTTTTGGGAAATTTGGATTTTTTTTGGGAAAATGGGATTTTTTTTGGGTTGTTTTGGTTTCGGAAATGGGGATTTGTGTTATTAGGACTGCGAGGTGGAGCATGAGGAGTGGAAAGATGCATTGGGGTGAGATTTGGGGGTTTTGGGAAAAAAATCTGGGAATTTTTGGGGGAAAAATGGGATTTTTTTGGGGAAAAATTGGGATTTTTGGGGAAAAATGGGATTTTTTTGGGTTTCAAAAAGGAATATTTGGGGTTATTAGGACTGCGAGGTGGAGCATGAAGGAGTGGAAAGATGCATTGGGGTGAGATTTGGGGGTTTTGGGAAAAAAATCTGGGAATTTTTTGGGGTAAAAATAAGGGATTTTTGGGGAAAAAATGGGATTTTATTTGGGAAAAATGATGAGGTTTTTAGGGTGTAAGAAGTTGGGGATTTTCGGTTATAAGGACTTCAAGGTGGAGCTTGAAGGAGTGGAAAGATGCATTGGGGTGAGATTTGGGGTTTTTGGGAAAAAAATTGGCATTTCTTTGGTGCAAACATGGGAATTTTGTGAAAAAATTACAGGATTTTGGGAAAAAACTGGATTTTTGGAGTTTGGGAGAATTGGGATTTGGGGTTATTGAGTGCAAGATGGAGCGCGAGAGGATGGTTAGGCCTGGCAGGAAGAACTGGGGTGAGATTTGGGGGTTTTGGGAAAAAAATTGGAAATTTTTGGGGTTTTTTTAAAAAATACTATGGGGTATTGGGGAAAAATGGGATTTTTTTGAGAATTGGGATTTGGGGTTATTATAATTGTAAGGTGGAGCACGAGGGGCTGGCGGCGCCCAGCAAGACGCACTGGGATGAGGTTTGGGGGTTTTGGGAAAAAAAATTGGGATTTTTTGGGATAAAATGGGATTTTTTGGGGAAAAAATGGATTTTTTGGGGGGTTTTTTTGGTTTCGGAAAATGGGGATTTGGGGTTATTAGGACCGCGAGGTGGAGCTTGAAGGAGTGGAAAGATGCATGGGGTGAGATTTGGGGGGTTTGGGAAAAAAATCTGGGAATTTTTGGGGGAAAAATGGGATTTTTTTGGGGAAAAAATGGGATTTTTGGGGAAAAATGGGATTTTTTGGGTTTCAAAAGGAATATTTGGGGTTATTAGGACTGCGAGGTGGAGCATGAAGGAGTGGAAAGATGCACTGGGTGAGATTTGGGGGTTTTGGAAAAAAATCTTGGAATTTTTGGGGTTTTTGAAAAAAAAATGGGATTTTTTGGGGAAAAAATGCGGTTTTGGGGGTTTGGTAGAATTGAGATTTGGGGTTATAAGGACTTCAAGGTGGAGCTTGAAGGAGTGGAAAAATGCATTGGGGTGAGATTAGGGGATTTTGGGAAAAAAAATTGGGATTTTTTGGGATAAAATGGATTTTTTTTGGGAAAAAATGGGATTTTTTTGGGGTTTTTTTGGTTTCGGAAAATGGGATTTGGGGTTATTAGGGCCGCGAGGTGGAGCTTGAAGGAGTGGAAAGATGCATTGGGGTGAGATTTGGGGGGTTTGGGAAAAAAATCGGGGAATTTTTGGGGGAAAAATGGGATTTTTTTGGGGAAAAAAATGGGATTTTTGGGGAAAAATGGGATTTTTTTGGGTTTCAAAAAGGAATATTTGGGGTTATTAGGACTGCGAGGTGGAGCATGAAGGAGTGCAAAGATGCATTGGGGTGAGATTTGGGGGTTTTGGGAAAAAAAATCTGGGAATTTTTTGGGGGTAAAAATAAGGGATTTTTGGGGAAAAAATGGGATTTTATTTGGGAAAAATGATGAGGTTTTTAGGGTGTAAGAAGTTGGGGATTTTCGGTTATAAGGACTTCAAGGTGGAGCTTGAAGGAGTGGAAAGATGCATTGGGGTGAGATTTGGTGTTTTTGGGAAAAAAATTGGCATTTCTTTGGTGCAAACATGGGAATTTTGTGAAAAAAATTACAGGATTTTGGGAAAAAATTGGATTTTTGGAGTTTGGGAGATTGGGATGTGGGGTTATTATGAGTGCAAGATGGAGCGCGAGAGGATGGTTAGGCCTGGCAGGAAGAACTGGGTGAGATTTGGGGGTTTTGGGAAAAAAATTGGAAATTTTTGGGGTTTTTTAAAAAAATACTATGGGGTATTTGGGAAAAAATGGGATTTTTTTTGAGAATTGGGATTTGGGGTTATTATAATTGTAAGGTGGAGCACGAGGGGCTGCGGCGCCCAGCAAGACGCACTGGGATGAGGTTTGGGGGGTTTTGGGAAAAAAAATTGGGATTTTTTGGGATAAAATGGGATTTTTTGGGAAAAATGGATTTTTTGGGGGGTTTTTTTGGTTTCGGAAAATGGGGATTTGGGGTTATTAGGACCGCGAGGTGGAGCTTGAAGGAGTGGAAAGATGCATTGGGGTGAGATTTGGGGGTTTTGGGAAAAAAATCTGGAATTTTTGGGGAAAAATGGGAATTTTGGGAAAAAAAATTATGGGGGTTTTGGGAAAAATTGGATTTTTGGAGTTTGGGAGAATTGGGATTTGGGGTTATGACGACTGCAAGGTGGAGCACGAGGGCTGGCAGCACCCAGCAAGACGCACTGGGGTGAGATTTGGGGGTTTTGGGAAAAAAATTTGGGAAATTTTGGGGGAAAAATTGGATTTTTAGGATTTGGGAAAATGGGAAATTGGGATTTGGGATTTGGGGTGGAAATCGTGAAATTTAGGATAATTTGGATTTGGGATAATTGGGATTTGGGGTGGAAATTGTGGTACTTGGAAGAATTTGGATTTGGGATAATTTGGGTGTGGGATAATTGAGATTTGGGAAAATTTGAATTTGGTATAATTGGGATTTGGAATAATTGGATTTGGGAAAATTGGGATTGGGCTAATAATTGGAATTTGAGAAAATTGGGATTTGGGAAATTGGGATTTGGGATAATTTGGATTAGGGATAATTTGGATTTGGAAAAATTTGTATTTGGGATAATTTGGACTTGGGAAGATTGGGTTTTGGCAAAATTGGGCTTTGGAATAATGTGGATTTGGGATAATTTGGGTGTGGATAATTGAGATTTGGGAAATTTGGGGGTAGGAAAATTGGGATTTGGGGTGGAAATTGCGATTCGAGACAGGAAAAAATTCGGGAAGAGGAAGAATTTGGGAACTTTGTGATGACGACGAAGACAAAAAGAAAAAAATTTGGGGATCCCTAATTCTGGGCATTTCGGATTTTTCCAGAACCCCAAATCCAGGAGCCCAAGTCCGAGGCCACGGAGACGGCGATCTGTGCCCTGGGCCTGGCCGTGGGCATCGTGGGCATCGCCGCCGGCACCGTCCTCATCATCCGCGGCATGAAGCTCGGCCGCGCCCGCGCCGAGCGCGGCATGCTCTGAGAAACCCAAAACCCCACGGAATTGCCCCAAAACCCCACGGAATTGCCTCAAAATCTTCCCCGAAATCCCACGGAATTACCCCAAAATCCCGTGGAATTACCCCAAGATCTTCCCTGAAATCCCGTGGAATTACCCCAGATTCTGTCCCAAAAACCCGTGGAATTGCCCCGAAATCCTACAAAATTACCCCAAAAATCAAGCTTGAAATCCTGCAACATTACGCCCAAAATCCAGTCTGAAATTCCTTTAAAATATTACCCCAAAATCCAGACCCAAATCCAGCCAAAAATCCCAGAGAATTACCCCAAAATCCAGCCCCAAACTCAGACCAAAATCACCCCAAAACCCAGCCCAAAATCCCATTAAATGACCCCAAAATCTGGACCCAAATCCAGCCTGAAATCACCCCCAAATCCAGCCCAAAATCCCAGGGAATTACCCCAAAATCCAGCCCCAAACTCAGACCAAAATTGCCCCAAATCCAGACCAAAATCACCCCAAAATCCCATGAAATGACCCCAAAATCCTGCCCCAAATCCAGCCCAAAATCCCATTAAATTACCCCAAAATCCAGCCTGAAATCCCACAAAATGACCCCAAAATCCAGCCCCAAAATCCCATGAAATTACCCTAAAATCCAGCCCTGATTCCCACAAAATTACCCCAAAATCCAGCCCCAAAATCCGCTGAAATTACCCCCAAATTCCAGACCCAAATCCAGCCCCAAATCCACAAAATGACCCCCAATTCCAGCCTGAAATCCATGGAATTAGCCCAAAATCCAGCCCAAAATCCCACATAATTACCCCAAAACCCAGTCCCAAAATCCCATGAAATTACCCCAAAATCCAGCACCAAATCACATGAAAGGACCCCAAAATCTGTCCTGAAATCCAGCCCTAAATCCTATGTTGTTACCCCCAAAATCCAGCCCCAAATCCACCCTGAAATCCCATTAAATTACCCCAAAATCCAGCCCGAAATCCAGCCTGAAATCCCATTAAATTACCCCAAAATCCAGCCTGAAATCCCACAAAATGACTCCAAAATCCAGCCCCAAATCCACCCCAAAATCCCATAAATTACCCCAAAATCCAGCCTGAAATCCTGCGAAATCCCAAAATGCAGCCCAAAATCCCACAAAATGACCCCAAATTCCAGCTCCAAAAATCTCATGAAATTACCCTAAAATCCACGCCCAAAATCCGCTGAAATTACCCCAAAAACCAGCCCCAAATCCAGCCAAAAATCCCACAAAATGACCCCAAATTCCAGCCCCAATCCAGCCCCAAATCCCATGAATAGCCCCAAAATCCAGCCCCAAAATCCCATGAAATAACCCCAAAACCCAGCCCCAAATCCCACAAAATGACCCCAAAATACAGCCCCAAGGTCCAACCCAAAATCCCATAAAACGACCCCTTTAAAATCCCAAAAATTTCCTTTAAAATCCCAAAAATTCCCTTAAAATTCCCAAAATTCCCATTTTCCCCGAATTCTCATTTTTCCCCCCAATTCCGTGTCCCCTCCTGTCCCCAGTAAAGGGGGAGGGGGAAGGGATTTGGGATCGGCCCCTCCCTCCCTTTGGAATTTTCTGGCAAAAAAAAATTTGGGATTGATGGAGGGAGAGGTGGGGAAGGGGTTTGGGTCCCCAAAATGTCACAAATGTCCCCAAAATCCCCAAAAATGTCCCCAAAATGTCGCCAACTCCCCCCCCCCCCCTTAGGAAGGTCCGTTTGACCTCCCCAACATGGCGGCACCGGAAGTGACCACCGAGAGCAGGAGCCGCTCCCGCCGCCAGGGCCTGCTCTGTCCTCCACACTCTATGGTCGGTCCTCCAGCACCTCATTTTCCTCGAATTTTTCCCATTTTTCACCATTTATCCCCGTTTTTTTTCCCCAAATCCCCATTTTTCATCCCCAAATTTATTCCACGCACTCATCTCGTCATCATCCTCACATTTTAATCCATCATGATTCACCACAACGCCATCATTAGTGATAAAAAAACCCTCCCCACCCCCATCCCTCCAAATTCCCAAAAATCCCCCGAAATTCCCCTTCTGAACCCCAAATCTCCCATTTTTCCACATTTTCAACCCCAAATCCCTCATTTTTTTTCACGCTTTGAACCCCAAATCTCACATTTTTCTCTCGATTTGGTCCCAGAATGGGATAAATTTACCAACGGGCACCTCCCATTTTGAACGGCGGCGGTGGGGGGAGCCAAATGAAACTAGGGGATTTTTGGGTTTTTTGGGGAATTTTGGGAATTCCTACTCGTAGTAGGCGATGAGCAGCATCATGGCCACACCGGCCAGCAGCGCCAGCAGCTGCAGCAGGGCCTGGCCGGCCCGGAGTCCCTCAGGATTTCGGGCAGCACCGACACTGTGCCCAGGTAGATGAAGCCGCCGGCCGTGAAGGGGAGGATCCCTGAAATGGCGCCGGTGCCGGAACCCTCGGCCAGCAAGGAGCAGGCGGCGCCCGCCAGGGCGGCCAAGGCGGTCAGGAGCTGCAGGAGCATGGCCTGGAAGGGATACTGGGGTTACTGGGATGGACTGGGATGAACTGGGAAGGGGCGGGGCCTAAACCAAGCAGCTCTTTCTGCCCTCACAAAATGGCGGCACTGGAAGTGACCACAGAGTGGGTGTATGAAGCGCCCGCCTCAAGGGGATGCTCTGGCATGCTCAACTCTATGGTCGGTCCTCCTCCTTTTACCCCCCCTTTTTTCCCTTTTTTTTCCCCACCCTAAACCCTTTAATTCCCCTTTTTTCCCCCAAATTCCACATGCAGGGACTGGGAGGGAGATAATGTGGGTGAAGAGGGAACTGGGATGAACTGGGAGGGACTGGGAAGGGCAGGGGCCTCACTCTCACGGCTTTTTCCACCCTCACAAAATGGCGGCACCGGAAGTGACCACAGAGTCGGGGGCCACACTGCCCGCCACTAGGGGGTGCTCTAGCCCACCCACCTCCCAACTCTATGGTTGGTCCTCCTCCTTCTACTCCCCTATTTTTTTCCTGATTTTTCCCCTTTTTTTCCCCGATTTTTTCCCCTGAATTCCACATGCAGGACTGGGAGTGAGATAATGTGGGTGAAGAGGGAACTGGGATGAACTGGCAGGGACGGGGAAGGGGTGAGGTCTCACCCTCACAGGCCTTTTCTGCCCTCACAAAATGGCAGCACCGGAAATGACCATAGAGTGGGTGAAGCGCCCGCCACTAGGAGGCGCTCTGGCACTCCCAACTCTATGGTTGGTCCTCCTCCTTTTACCCCTATTTTCTTCCCCAATTTTTTCCCGTTTTCTCCCCCCTAAACCCTTTTATCCACCCTTTTTTCACTCAAATTCCATATGCAGGGACTGGGAGTGAGACAATGTGGCTTAAGAGGGAACTGGGATGAACTGGGATGGACTGGGATGAAGTGG